AAAAAAAAAAAAAAAAATCGAACAAACCTCAAAAAAGCACTCCCAGAGAAAATCGAGGGGCAAACTCCTCCGCACCAAAAACAGAAACGCGACCTTAGGAACGCCCGTCAACTGCGAGCTCATATGGGTTTGGGAATAAGCAGAAGCCGGCGGCTGAGAATACTGCTGGATTCTGAAAAACGCCACCACACAGAGAGCGACGGAGGCCAAAACCACGAGCTTCCACCATAGACGCAACACGTGGCGACTCAACAGCTTCGAATATGCCTGAGCCTTCTTCCCCATGGCCGTTCACATACACCGCCGGCGAGCGACCAACTCTTTTTTTTAAAAACAATTGTTACTGTGATTATGATTCCCTCAACTTCTTCCTCTTCTTGTAATTCAACATTTATCAGATAACAACAGTCGATGAAGATAAAAATCAACAAATGGATGTGAATTTTGCGGGAGATGATTGAATTTCAGAGGAAGAGAGAGAGAGAGAGAGAGAGAGAGAGAGAGAGAGAGTGACAGGAGCGCCGTGAAAATGAACACGACGAATGATCGAGCAATTTTGGAACTTAAATATGATTCCATAAAATGAAAAAACCAGAAAAGAAAAAGGACCAATATTTAATTTGAAACAGTAGCGTTTATGGAAAAGAGAAGAAAAAAGGACCAATTGTTAATTTGGAAACAGTATGAGGACTCATTCAACACCATCTGAATCCTACAGGTGCGATAAACTCTATAATTTAAACATATTTTCGGGAATGTTGTAGTTTCGTTACGGAATTATTTCGTCGGGATTTGTAGTTGTAAGATCATCATATAACCGTTATGGATAGTTGATCTAACAGTTACAAACTCCGACAGAATGGTTCCGTAAATTCAATCTTAGTTTGCTACTTTTACTTTTTTTTTCAAATACAAATATAAACATATAATATGAAGGAGCTCTCAATTATTATAACTACATAACAAATATTAAAATTAAAAATTCCTTGTGTGTGATACATTATAATTGGACGGTATCAATCAATAAATCGTTGCTTGCAATAAATTTTATAATGTGAAAGCTACATTTATAAGAAAAGGAAAATAATATCCCTTGCACATTAAGTTGGACAATTTATGATACGATATTAGTGTATATATAATGGAGTTTTCATATGATATAGTCTATTGTAGTTCACCAGTACTTTTTTTATCATTTTTATACCATTTGCATTATATAATCTTTATTTGTCACTTTATTTTTTTGTTTCATAATCAGGTCTTCTTTTTTTTAAACTCAAAATCTAGATCAAATTTAACTCAATCAATCTTGCATTCATATTATCAATACAACTAAAAATACCAATCAATTATTTGCATCATATCAACTTTAATTTACTATTCACCAGTTCACATAATTTTAACTACTTGTTGATGCACAGATCCGATCAACGGTTAAAATCAGATTTAATAAAAGTCGAAAAGAGAGAATGAGGAAGATATACGATAAATATGGATTTTATTACTTAATTACGAGGTCGGCTTATGATAATGAGGTCGGCACTTTTGTTACACTTGAAAATAATTACGGGAATTTATTACAGATTCTAGAGAGAGAAAGTAGTAGTTGATGATTTCTACAACTCATAATAAATGAATTGAGTCTTCTATTTATAGCATTCCAGATCAAGCACTGTTCACCAATCTTGTCGCACAGTACTTCTGCAGGGCAGATCGACGCCGCTCTGACAGTTATTTAATACGATTTGAGGTTTCTCTAATCATTACATGTCAGACATTTAATGCACACATGATGGACATTTAATGCTGACAGGCCTTTTGTCGGACTAGATACCATAGGGTGGCAGACTAGGGCGGTTTGTCCTATCGAATATCATCAACTGCCAAGTGGCATTATTATATCATGTCCATACATCGCGCTCATCTGGGAGCCGGTCATGTAGAATCTCCAGGTTGGCTCTTAGACTTTTGTTTATCCCTGACTTTCGAGAATCTAGTTTTCTGCTCGGCTCTTGTGGAGACCGGCCCCCGCGCTGACTAGTCTAGGTGCCGGCCTCGGGAATAGCAATATTCCTTCCCCCGGTTAATCCAAATTCTCGTTCTTTTCTGGGTACCGGTCCAGATTTTGAAGTCGTCCCATTTCGGTTCGATCCTGGTCAACTCGGATATCAACACTACTCATCGCTTCCAATCACTTCTGTCATTCTTTTACATCAAATCAACATTTAATAATTTTTCGTTAAATATTATTTTAATACAAACTCAAAATCTCACCGAAAATGAACTCAATCAATTTTTTCGAAATTAATTATAGTTATCCTAAAAATTAAATCAAAAATCAGTCAAAATCTCATTTGATTTATAACTAAGCATGCCCTGCAAAATAATGATGATAACCACTTCAACCTTCAAATTAGTCCATTAATAGGCCATGAATATGATTAGTATAACACAAAAGTATGCGCATGTTATGTATTGTGGCATATAAACTTAAAATTGGGAAGAGAAGTTGGGTGCATGTATAGGGCAAGTTCGCTATTAAATAATGATTAACCTAATTTTTGGCTACTAACATAGACATGTTTGTCACGATTTGAACCTAATTTTTGGCTACTAACATGAGTAACACTTTTGCAAGCATAAGAGACGAAAATTAAAACAACAATCCGAAATTGAACGAAAAAGTTAGAATAGTAAAACATACAAGACTAAAATTACAATTTTTTCTTATTGTTAGGCTATATCTGGTAACCAAATAAGCTAGCTTGTAGTTTATTTGGTCAGCTTATAAACTTCTCCCATCCAAATAAACTTCGGTTGATATGACTTCATAAACTTTTTTTTGGGTAGCTTTTGAAATAAACTCGTTAGAAATATTTATTTCAATTAGCTTATCAGCTAATTTTATTAAACAAATTTTATCATATAAGTTAGTTTTTCAACTATAAATCATTAGCTATAAATTATAATTTCAAAAATCAGCTATAAACTAATTTTACAAAGCATACCCTTAATTTAAGAACATTAATCAACATAAATTTCAAACCTTGTTGACAAACAGTCTAAGCAAAAAAATAAAAAAAATTAGAATTAAAAAAAAAAAAAAAAAACGTGTATGGTTATGAATTATGAATTATTATGATATTAGAAATCAAAGCCACCGACTGGCATCATTGCACCACAAATTGTCAAATAAAAAGGAGTCCCAATTTTGAAAACACAAAAACTCATAAGCAAAAAAAGGCATCTCACAATAGTGTAAAAAATTGGGAAATATTTAAAAGGCAATATAGGAAAAAAGATACGTTAAATGAAAATTCAAATATACTTTTTTCCCCTAGCTAGTGTTTAGCTAAATATTTATTTCATCATAAAGCATATTTGAAAATCAACTTCAATAATAATATTGTCCCTAAGAGGGCGGTTCTCAATGAATAAATAGTAGCTGCACATAATCTATATAGTATTTTGTTACAAAATTAAAAGGAGGAGTTGTTTTATTAAAAAATAAAAAATAAAAAAAATGAACCCTTTGATATATTTTAGTGGAAAAAATTGTGAAGTATCTCAATTATTAATAATTATAA